CGGGACCAGGCCAGGGCCCCGCGCGTGTGCCCCCAACCGCGGAGACCGCCTTTAAACGTGTGCGGCTCCTCTCCTCCTCAGAGACAAGGCCTTTCCCTGCTTCCCCACGTACCCCGCGAGCCGGCACTTCCACAGAAATAAAAACGCGTTAAAACAACAGGCAAAGCTACAGCGAACTAACGAGTTCACCGGCTGCGTGACGGCAGAGGCGCGAGGGAAGGCTGGGCGGCAGGGGGAGCGGGGCCGTGGGAGTGGGGCTCTGGGGCGTGGAGAATGTTTTCTCTACGTTTCATGTGTCCTCCGACCTTCGTACAAGGGCAGTGAATGGGTGCTGTTTCCCTAATCAGAAACAAAGCCAGGCTCCCTGGTCGAGGGTCGGGAGGGAAACTGAGTCACACAGAGACGAGTGCTGAGGGCTGGGCGGAGGGTCAGGAGGAGGGCCCACCAGCCGGGCCGGGGGCGGGGGCAGGTTGCCCCGTCTGCCTTTTATTTCCTAAGCCTCTCAGATGTCGTCTGGATTTTAGGAAAGGAGCTTGCATTTCAGTTTGTGAAGCTGCTAACAGTCCATCTCATTTCCGTCTCTGATAGATGTTCCCCGATCCTGCCACCATGACTCCTGTCCTCTCGTCCTCGCTCCCGTCCTGCCGAGGTAGCTCAGTGGGCGGGTGGCAGAGCTTTCAGAGTAGAAAGGCCTTTAAAGCCTGTTTAACCCCCGTGCCCACCAGCGAGGGTGCCCTAGAACCAGCCTGCGTGGGGTTCTCTGTGCCACAGCCTCCCGCCTGCCCACCCCGCCCCATCTGTGCCTGGGGAAGCCTGCGTGCCAGGCCCCAGGGCCCCACTGCGGCCGGTCTTGGTCTCGGAGGCAGGCATTCCGGGGGGGACGAGGCCCAGGGTGAAGGGAGGGGGGTGCCTCTTGGGTGGGGAGTCGGGAGCCCTGGGTCTCTGTGGGTCCCTACACTCACCCTGAGTATGGGGGTCACTTTGCCTCTGAAAAGCGGGGAACGTTAGCTGTGCTACCTCCCTCCGGGGGCTTATGAAATAAACAGCAACATCGAGTGTGAAATTCAACGCGCAGCCAGGGCAACAGTCAGGGTGGCTGACCTGGGGGAGACCACCGCCCTCTCCCCTGGAGGGCAGCACCCTCCCCTGTTCTGCAAATGAAATGAGGTGAGTGAGGCTCAGAGGAAGGCAGGTTCTCACTTCAAAGCGCCAGGGGCTTATTTGATTTAAATGCTCCTCAGAAGGCCTTGAATCCCGGCTCC